GTTCCCAACCCATTCTTTGACCCAAACTCAGAAGTAAGGAAACAACGCAAGTTTTAGAGTCTAATCCTCTAATTTTTGCAGTGCAAGTTGATATCCAGTAATGTTTCACACACACATATATATATGTGTGAGTGAATCCAGTAATCTCTCACAAACACATATATAAGTTAGATCTATTACAACCTTTTTTTTAGAGCGAATGGCGAGAGCGAGAGAGGGTGCTGGTTTTCGAGCGGGGTTTTCGACAGCCAGGGACAGTGGCAAGGGCTTCATCCGGCAGCTTCCAGGTTATGGCAGGCAATTTATAGGGCGGGTAACTACATATTTTTTTATGATTTCCCGACGAATCGCACTGCAAAGGATTTGTGGTATAGTTTTTGGTCATATGGAAAAGTAGCGGATGTGTATATTCCGGCCAGAAGGGACAAGAGAAGCCGTAGTAGGTTTGGTTTTGTTCGCATGTCCGAGGTTTCTAATGTATTTGATAAGGAAAGAAAGTTGAACCAGATATGGATTGATTCTTATCGTCTCAAGGTCAAGTTGGCAGAGAACGTGAAAAGAGGGAAGGACGTGCAATTGGAGGGAAAGAACAAATAGCAGGAGAAACAATGGGTTAGAGTAAATAGAAAGGTTAGTCTCCTGGGGTCACTTATGCTCAGGTGGTGGCTGGAAAGTTGGTGGCCATTGAGGAAGGGCACTCTTCGAATAATGATTTACGGTAATCTGACATGAAGAAAGGGTCAATGGCAATTGAGATTGTGCCGGATAAGGAGGATGTCCAGTTGTTAGAGGCAGATGTGGTGGCAGTGACCATAGCTGATAGGGTGGTTGAGCCATCGACAGAAAAGGATACTGTAATATCCCAAAATTTTGGGAATTTTATCAATTAAGTTGAGGACCTTTGTGTGAGAAAATGTTATTGAGGGGCTAATAGTCAAATTTTCAAAAGTTGGGGGACTAAAAAGAAAGAAAATTAGGATAAGTATCAAGGCTGATATTTCTCTCCTCAGCCACGTGTTTTGCTCGCCCTCATCTTCTTCTTCTTCCCGACTCTTCCTCCCGACAGCCCCCCCCAAAGCCCCTCTAGCCACCGACTCATTTTTGAGAAAATTGGTGACCAAGCTTGGGATTTTCTCCTTCTTTTCTTGTTCTTGAACCCAGAAATTCCCCCCCC